TAACCTGGGGAAGGGACAGTTTCCACCCTTGATTTTCCGTGACTGAGTGCTCTTGGGGGTTGCAAAGGAGATGGTGGGTAAGCTGAGCCCACCTGGGCTATTTAGATTTCACCGACCTTTAAACCTCTCTTCTCTCCCCCAAGGTTGGTGGTCACCAATTTGCTCCAGATATGCCCAGCATCTATGGGAAAGCGGGTTCTCCCAGCAGGGGCGGGGGCCATGGGGATGAGCCCCCTTCCCTCCTGCCATCCCCACTTCCCTCTTTAAGCCTTTGCCTGTCAGGTTTTTAGGGCCAAATACCATAACAAATCACTACTACCTTGTTGCTTAAAACAGCAGAAATGATCTGTCACACTTCTGGAGACCAGAAGCCTGGCATCAGGGTGTTGGCAGGGCTGAGGTCCACAAAGGCTCTCGGGAGGATCCTTCCTGCCTCTTCCAGCCTCTGGTGGCTGCTGGTGTTCTCAGCTGGAGGCGGCATCGTGCCAAACTCTGCCTCTGTGGGCACATGGCCTTTCCCCCTGTGCAAGTCCTTTCTCTTACAAGGACACCAGTTGTTGGATTTAGGGCCCACCCTAGAACCAGGATGCTCACCTCTGGAGATCCCTAACTTAATCACACCTGCAAAGATCCTATTTCCAAACAGATTCACATTCACAGGAGTTAGGGCTTGGCTGGAGTGTTTTGGGGGGCTAGGGGGACACACAGTTCAACCCAACACACTCCACTTTAAGGAAGGTTCTCCCCCAGCTCAGGCCCCACGTAGCCTCTCTGCACGATGCCTTCCAGAATTCTGCAGAGGCCCCAGCCCTGCCTCTGTCCCTCCGCCAGGCCGCCCCCCACGCTGGGTTCCTTGTTCAGTGCTGTGGAGAGAAGCCCCCAAGCTTGGAGCCCCAGACCTGGCCCTGTGTGCCTTGTGCCTCCGTGTCCTCAGACACGACCCTTGGAGGGTCCTTGTTCCTTGGAGTGGGTGGAGATCTTTGAGTCCCAGAGGACACTTCCCTGGGCCAATGACCCCTCGTGTGGTGGCTGAGCCTGGGGGAGAACAGCAAGGATGCCCCCAATTTCCTCTCTGTCCTGGGCTGCCCCCCGCGGTCCTTTTCCCAACAATGGAAAGAAGCCTTTGTGCTGTGCTTGAGTGAGGGGGTGTCAAGTGTGTGTGTGTGTCGGGGGTCCTCCCAGGATATTGGCACGGCAGGAAGGGGAGAGAGAGAAATTGCTCTGGTCTCCTGGTCACAGGAAGTCTTGTCTTCCTTCTGTGGTTTGCACAGCTCCAGGTGGGCAGCCCCTGCGGTTCTCCTGGGAGAGGGCCCCTCTCTTCCCTGGCTGAGGTGGTCCCTGTGGTCCTAACAGTCTCCTCCCTTCCAGGGTGTGGAGGTCAGCCCCAAGGTGGAAGCGGTCTTGTCGCTCCTGAGTGCCCCGGGGCTGAGCCTGAAGCTGGTGCGGCCCAAAGCCCTGCTGGACAACTGCTTCCGGGTCATGGAGCAGCTGTACTGCTCCTGCTGTAAGGCGCTCCCAGGGAATGGGGCTGGGGACAGCACCCCGGGCTTCCAAGCCCAGGTCCCTGGGCACAGCTGGGACCCTCCTGGGCCTGCCTCCCGCTGCCCTGGGCTACAGGCCATCTCTGGAAGCTGAGATGGGCCCCAGGTGTGGGGCAGGAACAGCGGCCTGGTCTGGGGATGAGGAGGGTGTTGACGGTGCTGACCACTCCTGCAGTCTTTCTTCTGTCCCCCACAGGTAAACAAAGCAGTGTCCTAAATTGGCAGGACTGCGAGGTGCCAGGCCCGCAGCCCCACAGCCTGGCGTCCTCTTCGCTGTGTGCAGCTGCCCAGCTGTACCCTCCATCCCGGCAGCCCCCCACCTCCCTGCCCCGCTCCCCGGGATCTACGGCTGGCACCCCGGCTCAATGAGGCTGCAGAGGGTGCTGGCCTCCTGTCCCAGCAGCCGTGATGACCTGGGCAGGGTGGCTGGGGGAGCCCTGCAGGAGCTCCACTGGACCCGAGACCTCGCCAGCTGGTGGGCTGCTGGGAGCCCCTCTCGGGAAAGCAAGCCCTAGAAGGGGGTGTTTCTGTGAGGGGGCTCTGCCCCCAAGAAGGGCCCAGCTTCCCGCCGTCCGTACTGCACATGGGGGCAGCTGGAGTGGTGGGGCCTTGCAGGTGGACGTGATCTCGCTCACGGCACCTCCTGGCCCTCCACGGGCTGCCTCCCCAGCTGAAGGCATGGAACTAGACCAGTGCCCGCGGAGGCGAGAGCTGTGCTGGGCGTGGGAGATGCGACCCAGTGAGGCCAGTCTGGGGCAAAGCCAGATGCCGTATCTTGCCATAGTGGACGCTCTTTCAGTTCCTCTGATTTTTTTTCTATTAAACACCCGCTTTTGTTTTGGTTTGCTTTGCTTTACATCTGCAAGGGTGAACCCAAGGGCCCAGAGCCCCTCCATGGCCTCCCCGTCCAGCTCCAGCCCACCAAGAGATGGGAAGGGGGTCGGGCTGGCCGGGCCCTGGGGCCTGGGTCTGGGTCCAGACTTGGAATGGACGGAGCCTTCGCTGGGTGCCTGGAATGGGAGGTATTTAAGAACGGAACTCCTTCCGCACCAGTACTAGCCATGGAGCCTCAGCAAGCCTGACGGGGCAGATGTCAGGCTGATCCCCTGAAGCACCTCCTGGCACCCTCCTTCCCTCCGTCTGGCTGCCCCAAGGCAGCCCCAGGGCCCGCAGCTGAGGCAGTGAAAGGCACAGGTCCTGGCTGGAGAGCTGGCCACTTGTGCCCCTGCAACGACAAGCCCTGGGCTCCCAGGGAGCCCCACCCCAGGCTGGGACCTGGGGTGCTGGGGGTGGGCGTGGGGGCTGCAGGAGGCAGGCGAGCAGCGAGGAAGCCGGGGGAGGCGGGGGTGTTAATTACAGTACGACTTTATTAATACTGGAATCTTCACAGTGCATGTTACTTGTAGCAGTGACTATTCAAATCGGGGGGGGGGGCGCAAAGGGGGCAGGGAGAGGATAATCTATCCAAAAACCGACAGAAAGAAAAGAAACAGAATGATTCAGAAGGGATGGGCTGTCAGGGAGTGGAGGGAAGAAAGGGTGAGTGGGAACCAGGAGGGGGGCCTGGGGTGGGGAAATAAATTAAAAAAAGGAACAAGTTAACAACAGCACCAGAAAAGTTACTTCAGCCAGAGACGCTTTTGAAAAGAATATTTCTCTGTACAAAATGAAAAATAAAACAAACATAAAAGACCCCCAAACCAAACTTTGTGACGCGGGATGGCTGGCTCGGATCCCGAGGGGGTGGGCCTATGAGGTGGTCACTAATGGATGAGAGGTGGTCAAGGGGATGGAGGAATTATGTACAGCCCCGGGGGGACTTGGAGGGGAGGGGGATGAGCAGGGTGTGGCGGTGCCACCCCGCATGTCCCTGCCCCGGGCCTCCGAAGCCACCCCTCCATCCCAGGAGGCGAGCTCCTCTTCCCACCCACCGCTCCTCACCCTGCTCCCGTCACACCTCCTGCATCTTACTGCATCAGCTCCTCTGGGCAAACCCTGGCCCAGCCCTGCGCGGAGGCGCCAGTGCAAACCCCACCCCAGGGCTTCCCACACCGGCCACTGCTCTCCCAACCCCCTCAGGCCGTCCTTTGCCCAGGCCCCTCTTCGGGTGCCCAAACCTGGGGTCACCCACGCCCTCGCGGGGCCATTCTCAGACCTAGTGACTAACTTACAGGTACCGTTCCCAAGCCGCCTCGGGGAGCCCACAGGGCTCTGTGCACTCAGGGGCAGGCATCCTTGGCTCCCCAGACCTGCCTGGTTGCCCTGTGTGGGTCCTAGTTCCCAGCACAAAAACTACCAGGAGCTCCAGCCTGGTGCTGGGGGCCCTTAGACCAACCCTGTCCTGTCACGACCAGGAAAAGCCAGCTCTCCTGACCCTGGGGGCCTGCCTGCAGCCCCACCGCCCTTCAGGCTCGCCACCCTCTCCCGGCCTGCAGGACTGCAGTGCGCAGCCCGCCACTCACCCTAGGTGCACCTGCTTTTACCTGCTTAGAGCTGGCAGGACTTGGTGCATGGAGGGGAGGGCACCCCCCACCCTGTCTGCCCCCCACCAGCACAGGACTGGGACCACAGGGGGCTGTCCGGGATGGCATCTCCTCCGACAACAGAGAGTCAAAGCCAATCTCCCCAGACTCACCCCCCACAGCAGATGGGCTGCAGCCCCACGCCTGGCCCTCTCCAACCGCATTTTGGCTTTGCTCTAAATCTGGAGAGAACAGCTGCCCCTTGGCTTTTGGGAAGCCAACTCGGCCCGCTCCTCCTGCCATGGAACCACCAGGCCCTGTGGGGACCCCTGTCCCTCAGGCACTCTTGGACACACCCTGTACCGTCCACCCTGTCCCCACATGGAGTCCTTATCCAGTCAGCTCCATTTTATTATTATATTCATAAAATAACCCCCACACCCTCTCTAGCTCCAGCTCCCACCCCCAAAGGTGGCTGAAACTGTGCCTGAAGTGCCACCAGAGTCAGTCTCAGTGCACCCAGACGAGGACCGGACAGCTGAAAGGGCCCCTGGGTCTCTGCACCCCTTCCCTGCTGCCCTGCACTGGCCCCAGCCCCAGACGCACCTCAAGCGGGAGGGGAAGCTAGGAAGCGAAGCTGCCCGGGGTCCCCAGCCTCCCCTGAGCAGGTCCCCACACTTCCTCCCAGACTTGACCTGGACCCCTACCCTACGCCCCTCCTCCCGCGGTGGGCTGGGCCTCCTGACTTCAACCCCCGGACACTGCCAGCCACTCTGCCTTTTTCAGTTAAATCTGCTACCTTAGCTGATCGGACACCAGCCTCCACAACCACCTGCCTCCCAGATGACAGGAGCCTGGGAGAGGCTGAGACGGGGAAGGACGAGGGGCTCAGGCGGGGCTGGAGGGGGCCAGCATCCTAGGGAAGCCTGAGGCACGGCCCACCTGGGCGAGCAGCGGGGCCGGCCAGGCAGGCGGTGGGCAGGCTGGCCCAGCCCCTCGGCCCGGGGCAGGGCGGCGCAGCTCTGGGCCTCACCGATGTGGGAAAAGCAGGGCCTGCCAGGAGGACAGGAGGGACAGAGGAGGCAAGAAAAGTATGAAACGCGCTCCAACTCCGGTACGAGGCCGGCGGGCTCCTTCCCAGCAAGGTTGGTGACAGAAGTCACTTCCTGTTTAAACGCGGAGATCCAAGCTGATGTCTCTTTCCATAAAGTGGCTTTGCCTTGTGTGATGACTTAAAAAAAAAAAGCTTGCCTGGCTCTGCTCTCTTCACGGTGCCTTTTCTCTAAGCGGCTGCTGCTCACCGGCCAGGCCACCTGCCTTGGGCCAGAGGGTGGAGGGTGGCGCCATCACAAGATGCGGGGTGCCGACCTGTCATTGGTGATGGTCCTGCGGAGCCGCACCCCACGCCGAATGGCTACCAGCATGTCCTCGGCAGGGGGGTCGCCAGTGGCGGCAGGGGGCGGGGTGGGCGTCTCCTCTGCTGGGGTGGCTGGCAGGGCAGTGGGGAAAGGGAACTGGCCCTCGCCCAAGGCATGGGCACCTGCCACCAGCTCCCCCAGCTTCTCCACCAGGCTGTGCCGGTTGGCCGCCAGCTGCTGTTGCTCGGCGTCATCCTCAGGTGCCAGCCCGGGGTAGTTGGCGGCCTCTGGGGACGGGCTGCCCCAGGCCGTGTTGGGCAGGCTTAGCCTCTTCGGGGAGGCCTTGGCCAGGTCTGGTGCCAGGGGCGAGGCGGCCTCGTCGGCGTAGAAGACACACTCCTCGCTGCCAGCCCGCGTGGGCCCTGTGTAGCTGGGGGAGTCGGGCACCGTGGGCGTCTTCACAGGGACGATGGGTGGCCGGATGGGGATGGGGCCAGCGCTGGAGAGGGCACGGCGCACGGTGGGCTTGGTGGAGGGCGTGCGGCGGATGGTGGCCACGCCAGGGGGTGCGCCTGATGGCAAGCCCGAGGCTGTGGGCAGCCCTGCAGTGGGCAGCCCCGCGGTGGAGGCTGGGCGCTTGGTCTGGATCAGGCGGCGGTAGTTCTGGGCAATGTTGCTGTTACGAGGGATGGTGGACGACTTGTCGAACTCAGGCGGGCCCTCGCCGTCCGCATCCCCGTTCACCGAGTAGCAGTCGTAGTCAGAGCCTAGGACGGGGGATGCGGTGGGCCTGGGGCCTCGGCTGTGAGGGCCCAGTGACCCACCCCCGGCTGGGGGCCTACCTTGGGAGGGGATGGTGTCCTCGGAGCACGAGGGCGTGGTGGTCTGCGTGCTGTAGCCGCTGGAGCACTGCAGCGAGTCCCGGCTGCTCTTCTGGTGCTCAAGGCTCAGGCCGCGGGTCAGCACCATGGCCAGGTCACTGGCTGCAGGGGACACCTCCTCACCGTGCTGGGGTGGGGAGACCGCAGGCTGAAGTGTAGCCTCCCCTCTGCTCCCCTCAGCTCCGGCAGGTTGGAGCTCGCTCTGGGACCACCTGTGGGCCTCCAGGTGCTGCCCTGGGAGTGAAGGGCGGGGGGCCCTGGCTAGGCTGCCAGGGGAGCTGCTGCCTACCTTGGCTGCGATCGAAGCAGGGGACATGCGGGGCCGAGGGGCCTCCTCTCCACTGGGGCCCAGGGTGCTCCCACTGGCTGGGCCTGGCTCTGTGTCTCGGAGGAGCTCCACTCGGTCCTTCCTCCGCTGCAGGGTGGTGCCTGAGGGCTGCTCGTGGGGGCCGGCCTTGGTCCAGTCCTGCAGGGCAGGGCAGGTGGGTCAGGTGCCCTTTGGCCGTTCTTCCCATGGCCAAGGGTGCCCCTCACTGTAGCTGAGGTTTGGGGTTTTCAGGCCCATGTGGGGAGTCAGGCAAATACAATCACGGCGAAGGTTAGAACACCGAGGGTGCTGTGGCCCCACAGTCTTGCAGGCCTGGGGTAGGATTGGCACTTCCCCAGAGGGAAAGATGTGACTGTGTGGGGAGCAGCTGCAGGTGTTTCTTGCGGGAATAGCGCTGTGTGTGTGCCCCTCTGGCTGACCCCGAGTCCTCCCTCCATCCAGCGAGGGCGGGGAGCACTGACCGATGTGGGGGAGCTGCACTCGCTAACAGACTGGCAGGTTTCCGAGGCCTCGGAGGACGCAGAGCTGGAGGACTTCTGCCATGCAGAGGCGAGCAGGCAGGTGGATGAGGCAGGGAGGCCAGGAGGAGGAGAGAACAGACCCGGTCACAGCGCCAGCATGCAGTGACTCTCTGAGTCGGCGTCCCCCCCCCAGCCCCCGCCTTCCTGGGCCGTGGCCGTGAGCCTCTGCAGCAGAACCGGCACCCAGGGCACACAACGTATGCACCGACCTACCCCACAGCCCAGCCCATGAACCACACATTTTATTAACGTGAGGATGAGCGACGGGACTCGCTGTTGATGGGATGGGCAAGGGGAGAGAGATACTAAGGGCAACAGCGGGGCATCCGGCTTGAGCAGCTAGGCTGATGGTGTCACTTTTCCCGGAAGGACAAGCCTGGGGGAAGAGGAGCCCAGAATTCCATCCTGCACACATTAAGCTGAGCTGCCCATTTGGTTGCTACGTATGGATGCCACGTAGGCAACTGTATTTACAAGTCTGAAGTTTAGGGAGAAGACAGGGTTGGAGGCACGAATCCAGCGGCTGTGAGCCAGCAGGTCAGCTCAGCAGTGACGGTTAGAGGACAGGTTCAGGGAACTCAGGCCTGCCAACACTCAGTGGTTGGGAAGGAGGGGAGAGTCCAGAACAGGAGAGTGACACGGGGCTGCCAATGGAGCAGCAGGAAAGCCATGAGGAGGTGTGGCCAGAGATCGGGAGCAGGGCCTGCTGTGCGGCCCAGGAGGGCTGGTCAGCCGGGCTCACGCTGCTGGGGGCCCACCCGAGGAGAGCAGGGCCATCCGTGGGGACCCCTGGCACTGTTCTGGGGAGTGGTGAGGGTGGGGGGTCCATGTCAGAATCTGCAGGGAGACCCCTGCTCTGGTAGTCGGGGGACTAGGTCACCTGGGAGGACCCGACTCGGAACAAGAAAAAAGAATAAAGAAAAGAGGACAGAAAGGAGACCCCCCCACCCCAGGGCAGTGCTGGGAGACCAGGCAAAAGTCCAGGGGGAGAGCTCATCACCTGGTGGCCCCACGAAGCCAGGGCAATTGGAAGGGGACTCAGCACACCGTCCCAGATCCTGTCAAGTTCTCAAAATCATCCTTAATTCTGACCCCCAGATTTTTTACAGTTTACAGTGATCAAGAACACCAGCATAGAGAGAAACAAAGCACCACAGGTGAGGAGGATCCAGAGGAAACAATAAACAAATTTAGATTTTTACCAGTATAATTGTTAAAATGAAAAAAACCTCCAAAAATCAATGGAAAAGATTATTTGGAAAACTCACTGGAAAAACTCAATGCTCATTCATGAAAACAAAATAAAACAAAACAAAACAACTAGGAATAGGAAGGAAGTTCATTAATCTGATAAAGAGTATCTGCAAAATTATCAATACTTTTCTCCCTGAGGTTGGGAAAAAGATAAAGACACCTACTATCACCATATCTCTTCAGCACCGGACATCCTAGTAGTATAATCAGGCAAGAAAACGAGGTAAAAAGCAAAAGGATTGGAAAGGAAGAAATGAAGTGATTGTTATTTGTAGAAGACATGATTGTATATGTAGACTATTCAAAAGAATCTGCAATTATCAAAACTAATAAGTGATTTTAACAAGGTTATTGGATGTAAGATCAATACACCCACACACAAAAATTTAAATTCCTAAATATCAGCAGCTGACCAAAAAAACAAAATCCTTAAGAAGCCAACATAATTTGAACTAGCATTAATAAACACCAAATATCCAGGAAAAATAATCCAATAATAGATGTGTAAAATCTTTATATGTAAACTGCAAGACATCATTGAGAGAAGGTAAAGCCAAAATAAATGGAGACGTACACAGTCCCAGTCAAAACTCCAAGAGTTGGGTTTTTCTGGTGGAGACTGGCAAACTGATATGAAAATTTAAAAAGAAATGCAAAGGGCCAAAAGTAGACAAAGTGATATAGAGAAGTAACAGCTAGAGGACATTCATTATTAGATATCAGGATTTTTTTTTAAGTTACAATAATTGAGATGGTGTGGTACTGGTATAAGAACAGACAATTTGACCAGCAGAACAATACATATACATATACCGTTACCTGATTTATGACAAGGGCAACACTATAGTGCAGTGGGGGAGAAGATGGTCTTTTCAATAAATTGTCAATTAGATAACCATATAGAAAAATGACCCCAAACTCACACCACACCATACACACACACACACACACACACACACACTCTCTCTCTCTCTCTCTCTCTCTCTCTAAATTCCAGATGAGCTGCAGATCTAAATGAAAAAGGTAAAACAAAAAGGCTTTTAGAGGAAAAGATCTCTGTGGCCTTGGAGTACATGAAAATGTCTCAGGACACAAAAGGCACTATCAATTAGAATAAAATGGATAAACTGAGTATATATTAAAATTTAGAACTTTAGGTCATTAAAATACCCCATAAAGAGAATCAAAAGGGACCTCGAAAACTACAAGACACTCATGAGAGAAATTAAAGAAGATACCAATAAATGGAAACACATCCCGTGCTCATGGATAAGAAGAATTAATACTGTCAAAATGGCCATCCTGCCTAAAGTAATCTACAAATTCAATGCAATCCCTATCAAAATACCAACAGCATTTTTCAACCAACTAGAGCAAATAGTTCTAAAATTCATATGGAACCACAGAAGACCCCGAATAGCCAAAGCAATCCTGAGAAGGAAGAATAAAGCAAGGGGATTACACTCGCTGACTTCAAGCTCTACTACAAAGCCACAGTAATCAAGACAATTTAGTACTGGCACAAGAACAGACCTACAGACCAGTGGAACAGACTAGAGAGCCCAGATACATGAGCAACTTCTTCATGAACATATCTCCCTGGGCAAGGGAAACAAAAGCAAAATAAACATATGGGACTACATCAAACTAAAAAGCTTCTGTACAGCAAAGGATACCATAAACAGAACAAAAAGGCATCCTATAGTATAGGAGAATATATTTGTAAGCAACATATTCGACAAGGGGTTAACATCCAAAATATATAAAGAACTCACACATCTCAATAACCAAAAAGCAAATAACACGATTCAAAAATGGGTGGAGGATATGAACAGACAACTCTCCAAAGAAGAAATTCAGGTACATGAAAAGATGCTCCACATCACTAATTATCAGGGAAATGCAAATAAAAACCACAATGATTCAGAAGATTGGAGACTGACAAGAATTAGGCTTGGGTGGATTAATGATTGTGCATTGAGCATTGAGTCCCCTATGTTGTTAACAACCATTTGATCCATAAATATGAGAGATGCCCTC